TCAGCACAGTTTGTAATAGCTAAAGCTTGGAAACAGCCCAACTGCCCATCAACTGGAGACTGGATAAAGAAGATGTGGCTTTTTAATAAAATGGAATACTACTCAGCCATAAAGAATAAGAAACTAGAGACATTTATAGCTAAATGGATGCATATTGAAGCCATACTCTTAAGTGAAATAAATAAGACACACATGTGTAAATACCCAATAGTTATCTGATGTGAGAAACTAAAAGTGTAAATAAGGATCAAAATGTATAATTGATAATATGAAATAGGAAGCAAAGGTCTAAAGGGACAGGGGAAGTGGGAGGAGTAGGTGAAAGGAAAGAAGGAAAAGGAAAAAATATGAGAAAAGGAAAAAATGGAAATAAAGTCTCTGTAAATAGAGAGGGGTGGAGGGGTTGAAGGGAGGGCAGGGGAATGGGAAAAAAATAAGAACCAAGATACATCATGTAAAGGCACAAATTCCCAATGAGGAATGTCATCATACTGTATACCTAAAATGTACCAATATACTCAATGATTTTTTTTTAAGTATATAAGGATATGACCAAGAATAATGTTAGAGGGCCAGGGATTTAGCTCAGTGGTTTCTTCGCCTGCTGCGCAAGCACAAGGACTCGAGTTTGATCCCAGGTACCAAAAAAAAAAAAAAAAGAATAATGTTAGAGGCATCAATAACAAGACTGTTTGATCATTCTTTGAATATTCAAAAGTAAATCATATTGCTGCAAAATTCTGATTTTTCTTAAGGAAACAATACAGCTTTCAGTGTGGACATTATTTTAAGAACAATGTTGCTATTTTAAACTAGAATCAAAACCCAATGCCTCATTCAATCTGTCTAGTCAATTACACATTTGCTCAAGATTAAACTGCCCAAGAAGAGATGGGTGGATTTGCTGTTTTTGTTGTTATTGTTGTTATTTTCCAGGTGTGAACATAAAAGAAGTCTGGGGGGAAAAGGAGGAAAAGGCAAAGGGTTTCCCATGTTCTACTCTATTTTGCCTTCTCATGGTGAATGTAGTTCCAACATTGAAAGCTGTTTTCTACTTAATCCTTGACTGGTAGTGCTTTGCTGTTTTGTTTTGTTTTGTTTTTTTCTATACAAATCATATATTACATTTTTTCCTATATTTCAAATATGTCTCACCCTCCAAAACATTCCATAACTACATTGCATAATTCAGATAGCTGATTTTTTCATAACGTGTATATTAGTCATATTTCTCACATGTTTCACCTACTCTGGAGAATTATTCTTTTGATAACATTCAAAACTAAGAAATTCCACTTTTTAAAATTCCACTTTGCTTCACCTATGGCATTGTTATGGCTTGTGTTTAGATATCCACCCCCCCAAAGTCTCCTGTGGTCTTAGGTGGGGCTTTTTCAGAGGTGGCTGGATCTAGAGTGTGAGAGGCTGAGATCAATTCATGGTGCAAGGTTAGGCTCAAGGGCACTAGGATTAAGGATATGAGTGCTACCTACTCTACATAGTCTGAATAAGATAAAAGGGGCAGACCAGTGCCTATCTCGCAAGTGCAAGGTCCCAAGTTTGATCCCCGGCACAAAAAAAAAAAAAAAAGATAAAGATAAAAGGGGCAGAAAGACACTATTAAGGTCTCTTGTTGCTTTGCTCCTGTCTGTCTGCCATGAACTGTAGCCCTCTGCCACCCTGCCTTGGAGCCAGCTAATTATGGACTGAAAACTCTATGAACTATAAGCCAAATAAACCTTTCCCCCTTTTAATTCTGAGTGTTCGGTATTTTGTCTCAGCAACAAGAAAAGTAACTAACACAGTCACCAAAGCTGGTGTAACAGGTTAAAATGTCAGGAGTAATGCTGTCTAATATGCCTCACAGTTTGCAACTCTCTTGAGAAAATGTGTTCCAGCAAACTTACCGGATTTTGTAGCTATTAGAATGACATACACTGCTCACCCATAGATCAACAGCTCTTAGAAATTAAGTTAAAGTTGTTCATCATTTATGACAGTCACACAAAACCAAAAGAATCATACCTTAAGTATGCACTTAAATACATCTTGGCTGAAGACACCAATAGCTCCACCTGAGAATGGAACAGTACTGGGTCTACCAATTCTTCAGAATTGTGCAGGTATGATGGCCAACCAAACCTGCCTACTAAGTGTTTTCTATGAGTTTCAGAGGAAATGGTAACCAAGTACAGTGTTTCTGGCCAGGGGAAGCCCTACCTCTCCTAGTAGCCAAGTGAAGGATGTAAACAAGTACAATAAATCCATCATTACTCTTCAGTCATAACCTCAGCAGAGGGGATGTCTCATTTAATGGGACACTTAAATTATAAAGCAATACCTTTTTTTTTATTCTTCCCTCCATTAAGTTTATTGGTACATTTTAGGTATAAAATACATTTACATACATCACTGGGATCTTGTAACATTACATGAGTATCTTGGTTCTTATTTTTTTT